GTCGGGTCAACCCGCGAACCCATTTAAAATCAACTACCCGCACTGCCCCGTCGCCTGCTTGCGCAAGCCAGCGCGGCCACTCGCGCACCAGTTTCGGGTCAACCCGTGTCGGGTTGGGTCAACCCGGCAACCCGCCGAGTCAGGTCTGGGTTCGGATATCCGACACGTTTACCTACTCGGGTCGGGTTAGGATCAACCCGTTTGAACTCTGGTCATTTTCTGGTTCGACTCGAACCCGACCCGTGACCCGAAATTAACACCCCTAAACATGACCATCACCGAAGCCCCCAGTAAGAGAAAACCACCAATTGACAAGACTCCTTGGCTTTCATAAGACTATCCAAGAAAAGAATGGTATGGTGTAGGACTTTGCTCATCATTGTCCAGAAAACTAAAATAACAAAGCCAATCAATAACCAATAAATTCTACAAGTATTCCATACAAAAGCATCCAAAAAAACTGCAGCCAGTAGAGCACAGATTGCCATAGGCCTAAACCAAAGGCAGCATGACCATCCCAAAAGCCCCAAGGCAGAGAACACCAATTAACAAAACTCTTAAGTTGCCAAAAGGCTATCCAAGAAAAGCATGGAATGCGAGCACTCATAACCCACAATGCACAGAGTTAACCAAAACACCAAAACTAACCAGCAACCAAGAAATTCTGCAAGCATTAAACCCAAAATTTTTTTTAAAAAAATCATTCCTTGATCTGATAAAGAAAATTAAATTTCTTAATTTTTGCACGAATAACATAAATGATATAAGCTTTAATAACTATCGGACTCTCCCAGGAAGTAGTAAACCTTTTCTTGTTCTTTTTCCTCCAAAGATAGTAAACAACACAAAAAACATTGAAAAAGTAGAAATATTTTTCATTTAGATTGAAATGCTGAATATTATCCAAGAAATCATGTTTGCAAAAGATTAGGCCTATGATAAAACTTGCCAAGCAAAGGGAGCAAATCTATAAGAATCGAGAAGGTGTAGTCACATTCAAAAAAATAGATGGGCATGAGATCCAGTACTGCTAAGGCTAAAGGAGCTGGAGGGGAATGCCGGAATTCCCCTTTTAATTAAAAGATCCGCACATTTTAATCTTCTCAAAACCGTCATCCAAGTATAACAGGTGAACCAAAGAGCATGCTTCTTATGCCAAATAAACTTACACCAATCCAGATCCTCCAAATTAGATTAGAAATTAGTAGTAAAACTTTTTAACGAGGGGTTGGAGGAGCCATTCCAGATTAAAGCCGGTTGCTCCTAAATATTTATATAGAAAATAATGGCCTTAACACAATCTGGAAGGTAATCCAGAAGAGATCATTGCCCATTTATGATGAAGTCATTCACAGAGAGATGAGTCAGCCTATTGGAGTTGAAAGATTTAGATAATATATAACATTTACACCAATGATCCCAAAGCATGGAGTAATTATAGTTTGGGGCAACATCAAGACAGATGGAGTTTTTAATGCTCTGAGCCGAATGAGATATCAGTTTCCAAAATTAGGAAGCAAATGAAAGAGGTGGCTTCCAAGGGGATTCAAATTTAGCTCTAAACCGAGTGCCCAAATTAGCATTAAAGTTATACATACGTCAAATGAAAGAACAAACCACACTATAATAAATAGAATCAAAAGAAGGAAGCCCCAAACAACCTTTACATTTCAGCCTAGTCACAAACCTCCAAGAAATAAAGTGTAACTTTTTTTCCTTAATTTTGCCGTGAAATAAAAACTTTGAGCAAAGTATAATTTTATAGGATACGTTACCCTAATTTTTATGTTATCAACGTATCATTGAACCAAAATCCTTTATTGGCCTCTGCTTTCTACTGGCTCAGAGCAGCGGAGCTTCAGGATTCGTTCACGTCTCCGGTGGCGGTCTAGTTCCATATGGCAGCCTTCAGCGGCGACGAGACCGCCCCCTTCTTTGGCTTCCTGGGCGCCGCGGCTGCTCTCGTCTTCTCCTGTATCCCTAACCTCCAGCATGTTCGTTGTCCTTCTATTTTATCCCGATCTGGATCTAAAAGCATCTTGTATTTGTGGCAGGCATGGGGGCGGCGTACGGCACCGCGAAGAGCGGTGTGGGCGTGGCTTCGATGGGGGTTATGAGACCCGAACTGGTGATGAAGTCGATCGTGCCCGTAGTTATGGCCGGGGTGCTCGGCATTTACGGTCTCATCATAGCCGTCATTATCAGTACCGGTATAAACCCTAAGGCCAAGTCCTACTACCTCTTTGATGGATACGCACATCTTTCCTCCGGCTTGGCTTGCGGGCTCGCGGGCCTCTCGGCAGGCATGGCAATTGGGATCGTCGGTGATGCGGGTGTCAGGTAACTTTTTTTTTTAATTTTAATTTTTTTTTTTGAGTCCATTGGTGAAGAGCTCTTGTCGCTGATTTATGCTCGAGGTCCTTACTAATTGTCATGAGATGTTCATATGGTCATAGACACAATCATTCCTTTTAGGGGCGAACGCCAGTTATTTAATTATATTGGTATGGCGTGCCATCCATTTGATAGAATGTGAAGCAATGTAGTTTGGTTCATTTGTTCATTTCTTGCACTCGCAAATAATAGCTTTAATAGTTATTTGTGGAGTAACCTGCAAACGATATTATTGTCTTTTTTCTTTACCTTCCAAAATATTAGATCTTGCTCAGATTAATTTAAATCAAAAGGTGTAGTGATTTTCTGCCTAGGATTTTGTTCTAGGAATTCTTAGTTAGTTGTTATAATGTATTGTCCCCAAATAGCCTTGGGGTCGTGGGGTTTGTTATGTTTTATATGTGATATGATATAATGCACTGAAAATGTTAAGTTTTATATGAATTCATCTTGGACAAGATTGAGCAACGCTTCTTATTACTACCAAAAGATTGGATCTTCCACTACTCGTAGTGATTTCTGCGGACAATTAGGGGCATATAGCTTAGAGAATAGTGCTAGTTAAACAACTAAAGGCAATATTTGGAGTATCATCATCATCTACAGATCTACTACTGCAACAACCTTAGCCTTATTCCAACTATTATGGGATATCATATCCTGTTAAGTGGATATTTTAAAATTAACCACATCAATTAATTTAGTATTATATCAACCATTCCAATTCTATTTTGGTTGTATAATTTTTGTTTGTTTTCTAGGCTATCTCACATGGAACTAGTTACTTGGGTTTAATTAAATTTTTGTTTAAACAATACTATCATTGTTTCACAATTCACAAGTGATTTGTTGTGCTAGAGATACCTTATTAATCTTTTTTGGGCTTCACATTACAACTTACTCTCTGGAGAAGCGTTGCATGGAGGACCTTTACTTAGGAGAATACTCTCTGTTCCTAGTTTTGTGCTTTCCATGCTGCACTCTTTTAGAAAAGGCGACCTTATTGTATATTTTATCCAAAAACCATTTATTGAACCAGGTAGTTCATTTGAGTTACAGTTACCAGATTGTCTGGTTTTCTGGCTTGCTAATCTGTAGATTGTGTACTTGTAGTTTTTTTTTTTGCAGGAGCATTAAAGCTACTGGTGAAATGATGCGTGCTAATTTAATAATTTCTACTTTGTTTATGATGTTTTATATAAATGGCAAATTTTTCGCATTGCAATTAGTCCTGCATATTGACAATAGATCATCAATAAACCTTTTCCCTCTCTTACGATGTCTTTATTGTTCTAATTTCTTTTCTTCTTCGTAAGACTTTTTATTCTGTTGGATCATTTAGCTCTCATATTCTTCTCTTAAGCTACTTAGTAATAAGTTTACCAAACTAAATGTGTTCTGGGCAAATTCACCCTAAAATATCTTTTTTTTTTAATTCCAAAGCTGTTTGGAGTAGCTCTTCTATTTCCTTGGGTACTTTGTCTGAATGGATATGATCCTTATTTCTGGAATTACAAATTAAGTAGAAGCCTTTTAGACGAGGTATATGATAGATTGGGCATATGTTGTTTTTTTTTATAATTGTATTGTTTATGTTTTTTAGAGAAGGTATTTAATTTTTCTGTAAAATGTGTATGGGAAATCCTTAACATTCTTTGTGTACCCTCTCCATAGCTTGACCATCATAGAAAATGCACTTATGGAACAGGCCATCTATTTGTATTAGAGTATAAACAATTTTATTTCTTAAATCTACTCAGCATGACATAACATTATCAAAGGAATCCTTAGTAGGCTAAGCACAATTCCTAGCCTTTTTTGTTTTAGGGATTGCTTGTAAATTGAAAGAATATTTTACAAAACAATGTTTTTTTGGATTCCACTTTTTGGTCGAGTGTATTTAAAAAACCAACATGGATTCTGAACTTTCTCTGTCTCCCCAACCTAAGAAATTCATTTTCAAATACAAAATGTGCAAAGTGAAACCAGAATGTAGTTAGTGCAACTTGTCAATCTTCAACATGACATTGGCTACTGGTTATTTGGTTGGACCTTGCCAACTCAAGGACGTTGGCAGTTGATGACCCCCCAATTAACTCTTTTATTTTATTAACTCATCATGCTTCAACAGACTCTAAAGGTTTTAGTGGGCCCTGTTAAGTCTAAGAGAATTAATTTGGTTTCATATCAGAAAGATTTATTATTGAATTTCATTTTAAAAATAACACCAAATATTACTTAGAAAATGATGAATATATAAATATGACATGGAGAAAATTAATTTTTCAATGTATCTTACAATTAAGTTATGAGATAGTATCATAGTGTTGGTTTATGAAAAAATATATTAGTATAAGAGAATCAATTTGGTTTCATATCAGAAAGGCCTAAGACATTCAATGATAAAGTATAGAGCAAGTAAAATGATATTTGTATGATTTTTTTTTTTTACCTTAAGAAGACATTTGATTGAGTGTCATAATAATGAATTTTGTATACTTTTAGAAAAAATGTGTCAAAAGTATATTGAAATTAGAAGAGAAATATATGATGGAGCATGTATTTGTATTAAATTTAGTTATGGAGTGACCAAAAAATTAATTATATTTGAATTGTATTAAGGATGAACATTGAGTCCATATCTTTTTTATTGGTCATGGAGATGCTTAAAAAATATATTTGAAGTGAAGTGCCTAAGTATATGTAATTCACAAGTTTTAATTGGTGATATTGCTGCTGAAATAGTGGTAAGTTATTGTAATTGTGAAATATTTAAAACATAAAGGACTTATGATGAGCAAAGCAAATATCGAATATATGATATCTTATTTTGATGGGTAAGATGTTAGCAATTATCATTCAATACTATTAAAAGATAAACCGATACCTTGGTGTAATAGGTTTAGATAAATTGGATGCATTGTACAACAGAGTAGTGATGAGTATTATGTGATGAGAGAATATCATGAAGATTTAAAGTTAAGTTTTATAAAATTACAGTTTTATTGCTTTGCTATGTGGTTTTGAGTATTGAGTAGAAAAAACTTGATGATTGCAAACTGCATGCCAAGGAAATGAAAATGATATGAGAGATTATCAAAATTATGAAGAAATAAGTTTGGAGGGATTAGCATTTATTGATGGTTAAAAATTGATTTTGATTGTTTGTACATGTCCTACAAAGAGCACAAAATATGTTTAGTAAATTGTTAGATATAATTAGTATCAAAGGATTAGGAAGAAAAATATGGAGTGTAGGTTTAACACCTTATACATTACTCAACAAAAATGAATTAAAAGTAAGGGTTTATAAAGCTAACCTCAAATAGTTGGGGCACTGTTAATGTTGAATTTTATGTAATTTCATATAATTCTCTCTCCATAACTTGTCATGTTTCAAATCTCACCGCTTGTTGTGCCATGTTTTTGGATCTCACTTGATAGCTTGCCATGCCAAATTTGGTTTTTGGTCTATTGTTAGGTTGATGAATAAACTTACGAAACAATATATCTACCCGTTTTCATGATTTTGCCAACATATATTTGACAAAAATCTTCATTTGTATTTAACCCTAATTTTTTGATTTTGTGCTTGTTTTAATGAGGCTGATGTATTGGTTAAACTCTAATGCGGTGAATAATACAAATAAATTTTTAAAATGACCATTGGATTTAGATTTAATTAACTTTGGATCCAATATAGATAGTAAAACAACAAATAAATGAATTACAACAAACTTTATTAGCTATCGTTGTATGCACAAGCATAAGTTTGGTGAGCCAGAGCACCATGATATTTTTTATAAGAAAGTACAACAAGCAGTAGAGGTTCAAGTCCGATGGAGTAGGGGCAAAAAAAGATTGATCGTGGATACGATAAGGATTCAATAGTCAACCCTCTTAAGGAGCGAATAATATGCTTCTACATTCATAGATAATTTCAATAATTAGGTTGGATTTGAATTTGAAAACAATCAACTCTTTGCTTTTAATAGTAGATGTTTTTAGAGGAAGGGTCACAATTGTGGGGTTGTGATCAAGAAAATATAAGTTATCTTTTGTTTTCTCAGCCCCTCTTGGAGCAACTTCCATAAAATTTCTAGGGGATTCTTTTCACGGAGCACAAATCCCTCTTCCTTAAAGATTGAATAAGAATCTCGAGTATTTTCAAGATGCAATACTAACTTTCATGGTAACCTAGGGATTGGGAATTAATAAGGAAATCTCTTTATTTATGATATGAAATTGCTAATGAAGGCCTAACCATAGAAAAATGTAATCAAGTCGAACCATAATAATTATTGGAAGTAATTGAGAATGCTTTGTTGCATAAAAATAAATTAATACATTTATGAAAACAACAACTTTATATTTAATGGATAATGTTTTTTTACATCACTGACTTTTAGACCTTGTATAGTTAGACTTTATATTGGTGGGACTTTTTGCATTGGGTGTGCTATACAAAAAATTAAATAAGAGTAATTAAGAAAACAAATAGTAAGGAAAATTTATGTTTGTGAAGGCGATGTTGATCTCTATCCATTGAGTAGATAACATATTTTTGGTGTTGTATTGGTTGTTGCTTGTGATGCCATGTTTGAGGCTCATTCCTTTTTTTCACCATCACATGTTCGGGCAAAATTGTTGTATAAACTCACATTCCTTAGTGAAGTCCAAAGAAAGTAAAGAAATACAAGAAAAAAATTGCTAGTTTTAATATAGTAGGTAGAGTTACTTGATGCATGCATGCATATCTAGTGTACCCAGAGCTTCTTATATATGTTTAATTGTACTTGAAGCCCATATATTAATGGAATTGTTCATGGCCAAATATTCTATTATTTACATCGCATGTGAATTGAAGCAATTAGGGATTATACCTAGTAATGTGTAGGAGTCAATACTCATTAATTTATCATTTTAATTTTGAGCTGATGATGAGTTCTTAATTTGTTGGAGATACTAATACCACACTCTTTAGGTTTATATTTGGTTTTATATCTATCATTAAAAGAGAGAGAGAGGGAGAGAGAATCTCATCAGGTTCCATCGCTTGAGCATGCTTTTTAACTTGCATTAGATTTTGAACAAATCTCAAAAAGAATTTATATCTAAGAGGGCTATTATATATTCAGGAGTGCATTGTTTTGTCATGGCAGTTAAGCTTAGCTCATTACACCTTTTGCATCTAATGTATTAATAGTATAATCAATGAGGAAACTTAGGAAAATCAATTGCATGTGGATTGAAGATTTTTGCCAAGGCATGCTCTAATGGTCATTAAATTGGTCGTTATGCTAGTTAGTGTCCTAGTGGGAACTTGCATGATCTAAGGGTCATTAAATTGGTCATTGTGCTAGTTAGTGTCCTAGTAGGAACCTGCATAATGAAATTAATGATTATGAAGATGTTTATCAAGTTGACGAGGATATTAGTGATGTTTTGGTTGCTTTAGTCGATAATTTTTTGAACATTATGTATTGCATCATAGCTACACAATAGATTGAATTTGATTGGTAGAGAGTTGCAATTTCTTAAATCTATTTCAAATATGGGAAGAAATTTTGCAAGCTTAAAATTGATAGAAGTTGTATCATTGTTGTGTTCATGTTTACCTCAAACCATTTGAATTTGAGAGCTAGATCACATCCTCAATCTTATAAAAATTTAGTGTTCCCACTGAAGTGAAAAAAATATTTGAATATTGAGCAAATAATCATTTGAGAAAGATTATAGGTGCGAGGGTGTGATTCATGCTTTAATATTGTGGATTTGAATAACGTGATTGCTAGAGTTGTGTGATTTTAGAGTCATTTAACTTATTGAACTTTTTGATAAATTACCACCACTAAAGGATATGTAATGTGCTATTGATGTAGTTCTTAGATCATAATTTCTTAATTTGCAACATTATAGAATGAATCCAATAAAACATATTAACTTAAGAGGCAAGTTGATGAATTACTTAAAAGGTAGTTTATTATGGAAAGTATGAGTGCTTATGATGTACCTATTTTGTAGTAAGAGAATTTTTGTGAATAGTAGAACCATTAATCAGTTCACCATCAAATACATATTTTTATACCTTTTTTGGATGACATGTTGGATAATCTAAAATTGATTTGCAGAGTGGGCATCAAGTTAGAAGAATGGAAGATGAGGAATCAAAAACTATTTTTAAGATTAAAGATGAATTATATAAATGGTTGGGTGATGACTTTTGGTGATGAATATTTTTAAGATGAAGACCCAAAATGATTATTTGAAAAGTGATTGAAGTTTTACAAGCTGAAAAGTTATGTTTGAATATGGAGAGATGTTGGTTTGAAAAAAAAAAAAAAAACTACCTAGGTTTTATTATGTATGTGGATGACTTATCTGTTGATTCTGAGAATGTTAAAGCCATGAATAATCGATTAACACCAAATATGATTATTGGAGTTTTTATTGTTTGGCTTCTTTCTAGATATATGATTTATTAAGGGATTTGGTTTTGGTATGATCCCATTAACAAATTATTTTTAAATTTGAGAATTCAAATTGGTTAGTTTGTTAATTATGATTTTGCTTAAATGAACAAAAAGACTTATCCATGCACTTGTGCTTAAGTTGCTTGATTTTAATGAAGCGATTGAGGTTTCTTATTATCCCTCGGAATAGATATTTGAGAAGAATGACATTTTATTCCCTTCTTCACCGAAAAGTTAAAATGAGGCTAAACAAACATATTCAAACAGTAATAAGGAATTTTGAATTTGGGCAATTGACGAAGCATATTTAATTATCATGCTTTAAAATATTTGAATTTTTAAAAGAATTTAAGCAATAGGTGAAACTTATTTAAATACAAAGCAAAAATAATGAAAATATAAATGAAAATCAATGCAAAACACACACAAGAAGTTATAGAGTTTCACCCAGTTGATGGCTACGTCATAATTTTTCCGTTGTAGATTTCTCTCTGATTTGATTGTGGATAATTGTAATCCTAATTTCTCAAATCTCGATATAAGACGAATCCCCTCTTTAGAAAGCAAAATCTTGGGCAGCTGAAATTAATCAAATTCCTAAAATTCCCTTATTAAAATAACCATGCATATCATGTATCTTTTGGGGCTAAAATTGGGCTCCACATTTTAACAACTAAGTGGATTGGATTTGTGCTTGATGTTTATTTATTGTTAAATGAAATGTTAGATATGATAACAAACTAGGTGATGCCTTGATTAGAGTTATTGTCATTCTACATACAATAAATGTAAGGCGATTGGTTTTTGATAGTATGAAAGGTGTGTTCACTTGTAAGAATTTTCGTGGGATTTACGAAGACTTAAATAGCAATGAATCATCGAGGAATTTTTTATCTTTGAGAATTACATGCCAGAGGCATTGTTCGAGAATTTGGAATGTATAAGACAGTTGCAATGACTAGTAATATAATTATTTTTACCAAGTTAGAAAGGACTTATAAATGCCTTATGTCAGTTTGATAAAGGTAGGAGACATTATACAGAGTTTTTTTGAATTTGCTAAGTGTAAGAAACATGCATAGGATTATATACACCTTTACTAATTCTATAGGGAGGATGCTAAAATGGACTGTTTTAGGTTTACAACACAAACTAAGTAAACATGATTATATTTTTGTAGTGATAATTTTTTATTTTTCAAAAAATTGACAAGTAATACTGTAATAACATATCATAAAACTATCAATTCATCTCATATTGCTAAATTGTAATTTAGTGAATTAGTTAAATTATATGGTGTACCTAAAATAATTATTTTTGGTCAAGATGCAAAATTTATTAGTTATTTTTGGAAAACGCTTTTGAGGAATATGGGAGCACAACATAAATTTTTAGCCACTTATCATAAACTGATGGTCAAAAGTAAGTGGTTAATTAATCTTTAAAGGATCTGTTATACTATCTAATAAAAGATCATGTATCTAGGTGCGATTTGATATTATTTATGATCGAGTTTCCATAACAATTTATGTAATAATAGGTCTATTAACACAAGTCTATTTAAGATTATCATTAGTTATCAGCGTAGGAGCGCCTATAGATCTTATTGGCCCTACTTATAGAGTCTAGGCATAGTACACAATTGGACAATATATGCATAATCTGTATGTGAATGCTCGCATTAAAACTGGCTATTAATTGTGATAATTACAAATTTTTTACTGATTTGAACATGTGATATGTGGAATTTAATTATGGTGATAAGGCCATAATGTGCCTAATTCTAGAAAGTTTTCCATTTGAAACTTTCAGTAGTTGTTTGATAGCTGGATTTAAGCAAAATTTATCGAAATTCTGTTGAATGTCAAAATTACAAAAATAATTCTTATTGATTTTTGAATGATGGATTTGCTAAATCTGATAGTTTGGTAGATTTATGAGTCTTGGATGAAAGAAGTGCACACAGAGAGGGAGGGGGGACAAGAACGAAGGTTGCTTTTGATAGCTAACTCCAATTAGGACTTGAATGTTTTTTTTAGCGATTGCTTTGATTTATCTTCTTGTATCTTTCATTTAATTCGGGGCCCTTTCTCTTTTATCTAGTGAGCTCTTAGTGTGCTTCTAGGGTTTTTGCTTTTACGCTTTTCAGTGGACCAAATAGGGAAGTTGTTGGGGCTTGTAACAGAAGGGCCTTTCTACTTCATTCCTTGGTGACTAAAGAAGCTTTGGATGGCACTATATATAGCATTAGTATAATTTTAGTTGGTTTCAGTTGATTTTGTGCCTTTGATTGGTGATTCCACTAAATATCCATTGTGGCTTTCAAGTATGTCATTTAGTCTTATTTATTAATTCACAGCTACTCAATCAAATAAATTAGATATAAATATGTTAATTAAAAATAAATTAGCATTAATAATTAATATTAATTAATCAAATAAAAGTTATTATATTAAATTAATTAAATTAATTTACTATTTAATCATTACTGGAATATTATTTATTCTAGTTATGGTCATTTACTTCATATTTTCTGAGGGAATAGAAGAGTAGTGGTGTTTAATTGTTTTTATTCTTAAATGTCTAGGGACTTTAAATGTGGGTAGCTTGTTTGTGAGTGCTCGTTGTTGTTGTTGTTATGTAATATGTTTTAATTTTATCATTAATGAGCACTATTAAAATTCTATTTGAGCTAACGGACTTAAATTGTGAAATAAATAACCAAAATAGCTCATCAAGATCTAATCATATATAATCTTTATCATGTCAAATAATTTTTGTGATTTAACTGCCTTAGAATTTACTAAACTCTACTTGAGTTAAAATCCTACTTGCAGCTAAACAACCCCTTAATAAATCTAATGCAAGAAGAAAAAACCATTTAAAATTTTACATTGTATTGAACTTAATGCCTACAAATTATAATTTTCAGGAAATAATTATAAAATTGCGCTTTTCAATTCCTTAAACCAACCAAATTCTTCAAAAAAGTGCGGATGACAGCAATTCTAATAAATAAATGATTGGAAAAGCTTCGGAATAATTGAAAATGAGGAACTGTGTTATGACATTATAGTTGACTGTGTTATGATAACCATTGCTCTTGATTGCCAATAGGGAGAGATTATTCTGTGCGGAACTAGAATGCACAGTATCAGTGGTACCGAGCCAGGTATATAGTAGGGGGTGATGTGGCACATTTTAGTTGGTCTCCGAACGGCGTTCGGCGTCCGCATAGAATAATTTCACGCCATATTATGACTTCAAATTCTGTTATGAATTTCCATAATCCTTAATGTGCAGCTGTAAATAACTTCGTTCTGATTGTTTTTACAGAGCCAATGCACAGCAACCAAAACTATTCGTTGGAATGATTCTCATTCTTATTTTTGCTGAAGCCTTGGCCCTATACGGCCTTATTGTCGGCATCATTCTTTCATCCCGTGCAGGTCAGTCTAGAGCCGACTAGTTGAAAAAGACAAACTGTTGCTTGATATTCGCAGGTCTGCCTTTTTTATTTCCTTCCCTCTGGCACTTAGTGCTTAACAAGGCTATTGAACCAAACTCGGTGGTTCTATTTTCCGTAATAGAGAAACAGTAACGGAGGTTCTCGGTTTGTAACATAACATATCATATATAAGTGTGTAGGGAACGCCCTTCTATTTATAAATTATTGTGTAGGAATATAAGGTTTAGCGGTGTCTGATGATAAGAATGGCGGTGCTTCCACAAGGATGGTGTTTTGATTTTATCATAATTATGGACCACTCATTTATGACAATTATTATCTTATTATTGTTGGATGGTGTCATAATACTAGAGAGCATAGATATTATATTTCCAAGAAAATAAGATCAAAAAGATTTTTATTATATGTTAATTTGGAGAATGTTTTTTTTTAACATTTCGGTCAATTAAGACAAAAGCATATATATCACATACACAAGATTTCACTTTAAAAAAATTTTAAGTGATTGTTAAAGCTCTCAATTAACACCTATTGAGCTGTGTGGAGAAATTCATTGTGGTCTATAATAGAGAATTGAGAGATCGGGCATGTGGCTTGACGGTTGATTGAAGACCTTCCTCCCGATCTCTCCTTGCCTCTCCCGGGATTTGCATGAAAGAGTAATGCTTTAGATTTGATATGTCATCAAAAATTATCTTGATCATGCATGAATCTTAGTGCAAAATCAAGTTGGAAACTTCCGAATTAAAATTGGGATCATCCGAAATTTGATTTCAGCAAACTTCTAGTCGAACCAAGTGTCTTGAGAATATGAACCCAACGACACCAAATCCAACCCGATCTGAGCCAAAACAGGTCTAAATCAAGGGTTAGAAGCACTATTTCCAAACGGTTTTCAAACATAATGTTCTTATAGTCGAATCGAGCGGCTTGACGAGAAGAATCCAACGAGCCTTGGATCATCGAATTCCAACATCACTAAGACATTCAAATGTCCATCAAACGACCCATGATCAAGGGATTCAATATTGGTTGTCCATCCAATCACTTCACATTTACCCTTGATTTTTCACCTATTTACGGGCCATGCAAGTCCAAAAATCTATAAATAGATCCATCATTTTTTCTTAAAAAGGGATCCAAGCAAGAAGAGAATAAGAGAAGAGAAGGAAGAAGAGAAGGAAGATAAGGAAGAGAAGGAAGAAGCTCCTCCTCGACCACCGTTGGAGTTTTGTCAGACCACCACATGAGGCCCTCGCCTTCACAGGACCACAACCTGAGGCCTTCGCCTTCGTCGGACCACCACCTAAGGCTCTCTCCTTCACCTGACCACCACTTGAGGCCCTCGCTTTAGCCAGACCATCACTTGAGGCTCTCGCCTTCGCCGGACCACCACCGGAGACCCTCGCCTTCACCGGACCACCACTTAAGGCCCTCGCTGTAGTCGGACCATCACTTGAGGCCCTCGCCTTCGTCGGACCACCACTTGAGGCCTTCTCCTTCGCCAGACCCCACCTGAGGCCATCGACAGACCACCAATTGAGGCCTTCGCCTTCGCCGGACCCCACCTGAGGCCTTCGCCAGACCACCAATTGAGGCCTTCGCCTTCGCCGGACTACCACATGAGGCCCTCACCTTAGCCGGACCATCACTTGAGGCCCTCGCCTTTGCCGGACCATCACTTGAGGCCCTCGCCTTCGCCAAACCACCACTTGAGGCCATCGCCTTCGGCGTACCACCACTAAAGGCCCTCGCCTTCGCCGGATCATCGCCTGAGGCCCTCGCCTTCCCCGGATCATCGCTTGAGGCCCTCGCCTTCGCTGGACTTCTGTCTGATCACCACCTAAGGTCCGGACTTCTAAGTGACGCCAGATTTGACACTAGACTTCAACTATAATTTGTAATCTGATCGCCCTCAAGGACGAGTCAGCCCATTGTATTCAACTCAAATTCTAGTGAAATCTTTTCAACTGGGCTAGGCCCCGTGATTTTTCCTCTTTCTAGGATTTTCCACGTTAAAAATCTTGTGTTATATGTGTGTGAGCTGGACATCTGGGCAACGCCAAGATGTAAAATTACAACTCTATCGCCGCGTATATTCTAGCCCGCAACAAGATCTTATAAGGATTAGACTAAAAAATTAGGTCAAATCAACACGACTGTTGAAGCAGGCACAAATATCAAAATGTGAATTATTCTATCACATATGTACATCAAATTGTTGGCACTTCAGAACATTTATAAAGTGAAAAATATTTTGCTCATAAAAAAAAAAAATCGAAATGATTTTCGAGAGCTATTTAATGAATGGGATATGATATATGGTATATTTTATTGATTTGAAGCTTTACTTTAGGCTGAGTTGGACATTGTAGTAATACTCATTGTAAAATTAAGAAACAAAAGGCAGCATGCCAACTCTTCAGCTCTAAAAATTTCTTCTACGCTGGTTGGATTTAAAAACATTTTTACCGCATGTTCGGCCTTGTTCATTGTTTTAGGTGGTTTTTTCGTCCCTAGTAAATTATTTTCTTTTTAGGTCGTGGATTATTTGGCTTCAATTAGAGGTGTATATAAGCCGAGTAGAGTTTGAGCCATCTTAAAAGCTTGATTAAATAATCGAATTTGAGAAAATTGAGTTTTATTCTATGAATTCGAGCAAGTTCATAAGCTGCCTCATTTATTATGAAATATAGAAAATTATAATGATTTAAATAATTATTATAATAAAATGATGGAAAGAAACAAAAAAAAAAAATTAGAAATGAATCAATTAATCTAAGAAAGTGAGATGATTTTTAATTCTTTTTCATGATTTTGTACTTAAAAATTATGAATCATAATATATTTTAAGTATATTTTATATTAATTTGTTTCACGAATCGAGTCAGAATTGACTCAAGTTTGACTTATTAGTACATTGAGCTCGACTCACGAGCTATTTATCGAGCCTGAGCCAGCTTACGAGTCGGCTTGGCTCACTTACATCCCAAGCTTCAATGGTTGGATGCTTCTCTTATTATTTTTCATATGATGATGTTATTTCATCTTATGGGCTAGGGCTGATAAATAATTAAATATGCATGCTTAATCCAATCATAATTGGCTCCCTCATGAATAGATATTATACTCCTACATAAACTCAGACATCTAGTAGTGGATGGAGCACGTACACTATACACTTTATGTGAACCTTCCCTTAGCAGTCCATCAGTTGTTTTTTTTTTTCCATGTTATTTTGTCCCTTAACTCTTAATTATTTGCTTGGTCTTTTATCTTGGGTGATCCATTTACCTATTGATGTAATTTACCATAGTACTAAGTTACCTCTTGATAATAATATATAGTGTTGTGAATAAATGATGTACTTTTTCAATTTAATAGAAGTAATTTCAATTGAATTTCTCATAAGTGAAAGGCATATAATATATATCACACCGAGTCTTCGAATTATGATCCTTCTAATGATATTTTGTTGAAAAATTACCATAATAATCTTCAAATTAGGAATAAAATGCACATGGTATTCAAAAGTCCTATGATCCAATAGTATTAATGATTTATTTTGATTTCTAAGCGTAGCATCTAATCAGTAATCACTCATCTATTCAGTTTAATGGGATAGCGTAATCACTTGTCTGATGGGAATTAAAAAATAAAAACCAATTTTCTAATCACCACTTTGCCTAAACCTCCAATCTAATCACTATAATTGTGCCCTAGTTACGTGAACAAAAATGATAAACAACCTCTCTAATGGCGAGGTGAAAAATATGTTCATATTTATTCCACACACCCTAACCACCATTATCTAAAGCCTTTTTCCATAGCCACGTTCACACTTTCTTCCTTTTCAATTGCTCTCTTTCACCTTATGCCACTCCACCTCACGTGCGCTGCTCCCTTTCTCCTCTACGGAAAATTATTAGATCCGATCACCTGACAGAGAGATACATACGAATTTCTCTTTGTCTATAGTAAAAGCGTAGTCAAAGCTCAATTGCTACAGTAACTGCGCTTTATTGTAGATAGAGAAAAATCCAGATGTATTTCTCTGTCAGGTGACCAGACCTAATAATTCGCCCTCCTCTATGGCCACCATCTTGCAATATTCTTGTGTCTAAGAGAGCAATGACAACCCTTTACCAATCTTAGCATTCTCTACCACTAAATAGAGGAGTTTATTTCTTTCCTCCACTAATGGTTACCATAAAGCATCTTAGGTAATGTGCCACTGCAAACAAGTATAATTTATATGTATTTCATAAATAATTTTTTTAATATATATGATATATTGGCTATTCTATTTTTATAACAAATTATGATTTATAAGAATAATATTTATTGCATTTAACGGAAGTAATGTAGGAGAAATATATAATATACTATAGCAATGAATTTAATACATAGGAGTTCTTGCAGCAATAAATCAATGTATAATATTTCTATCACACGATAATTTCATTATGAATAATAAACAACCTATCACATATAGATCCTAATTTAATTAGTAAGAAAAACACCCATAATAAAGAATTGTACATTTTCCCCTTAATATATAGAAGTTATTTACCTCTAAGCTGAGGTATGAAATTCTAATTATATTTATATTTGAATGATAGTGCCATGTGGAACTCAGGTCGAAGGTCCTACAAACAAAAAATCTAATTTAAAGCTTGAGCTCTAGCTTTATTATACGAGTTCAATATGGCTGATCATGAGCAAACTCGTTTATTATAAAAGAGAGAAAATGAATATGATTCAAATAATTGTTATAATAAAATGATAAAATGAATTAGAAATTAAAATAAAAATAATAAAGAAGTACTTAAAATATGAAAGTGAGATTTATACATATTTTTTGTAACTCTTTTCTTAAAATCATGAGTACTAATATATTTTAAGTGTATTTTATATTAATATTTTATAAATGAGCCAGCTTGTGAGCTAACGAGTCAAGGGCTGGTTCAAGCTTAGCTCATTAGCACATCGAGCTCAAGTCATAAAAGATTTATCAAAGTGGCTCATTAGTTAGCTTAACTCACTTACAACTCTTACTCAAATTGCATCAAACCTAAATTATTAATATTATTTGAATAGCAAATTGAAAAAGAAAACTAATTAATAAATAAAATAAAATTGTAAAATTTTATAAATATTGTTGCAAGCTAGAATATTCGTGGTAGTAGAGTAAATAAATTTTTCGACTTAGCAATGCACATATATCCAACACATATACAAACAGATGATTTATGAGAGAGAGAGAGAGAGAGAGAGAGAGAGAGAGAGAGAGAGCAGTAAAATCCCAGATC